ACCAAGTCAAGGGTTAAGATCCCCTTACCGGTCATCTTTTAAAAAAAAAAAAAAAAAGGGAGAGTGTGGTGCTGATAAAAATTAAATATACTAGGACGGGCAGATTCTTAAACATTATAATTGTCTTAGTCCCATATTTTGGAGACAGATTAATCTGTAAGAAAAAGAGACCGTTTAGATGTCTTCATACTCAGAATATTAAATTATAAATGTCTTCATACTTTAATACGAATATGACAAGATGAGTGCCTTGTCACTTTTATGTTTTGTCCATATCAGTTAATGATTTAGATGTTATCTAAATAAAGAGGGAGCTCTGTCCAAATGTCTATTTTCTAGAAGATTCCATGACAGAAAGTTCAAATCCANACTAGGATGACTAACTTTAAAAAAAGGAAAATAACAAGTATTGGCAAGGATGTGAGGAAACTGAAATCTTTGTACATTGCTGGTGGTAATGTAACGTGGTGCAAACTGAAAAGTTTGATGGTTCTTCAAAGAGTTAAACATAGAGTTACCACTTGAATTACCATAGGATTATCCAGTAATTCTACTCTTTGTAGATTTCAAGGACTCATGCAGATCTTGCACACAAACGTTCACTTATTCACAATAGCTTTATTCACAGTAGTGAAAAGGTAGAAAAACCCAAGTGTTCATCAAAAGAGGGTTTTAAAAATGTGATATATACATACAACAGAATATAATTTAGCCATAAAAAGGAATAAAGTTCTGATACATGTTATAACATGAATGAACCATGAAAACATTATGCTAAATGAAATAAGCCAGACACAAAAGGACAAATATTGTATGATTTCACTTATATGGAATATCTTGAATAGGCATCTTCACAGAAACAGAAAGTAGGGTGAAAGTTACTAGTGACTTGGGGAGAGGGAAGGGGGAGTTAATACTTAACGGCTACAGAGTTTCTCTTTGAAATGATGAAAAATTTTGGAAATAGTGGTGATGATTGCACAACATCGTGAATATAATTAATGCCACTGAAATATATACTAACGACGGTGA